GCTTGTTATTTTTCTTATCGATAAGTCATTCATCGGAAAAAGTTCTGTTAGTACTCCTTCATCCCCTCAAAAAGCTGCTCTACAACGTCTACAGAAATGCATTGCTTCCTTTTGGTGGCCAGCAATGGCAGGTGCACGTGGAGGAGTGCAGCGCAAATCCACACAGTGAGTATCAAATACCAGAGGCGAAGCACTAAGCAGTTCAACAAAGGTCACATTTCGGCGTGTTCAGGTGGCAATCCGGATGTACAATGTAGAGATGCGCATTCATTCGGCCAAGTCTTCAGCAGCAGTACGAAATGTTGGGAGTTGCGGGAATAATTAGTGGTTCTGGGGTTATAGTCGGACTACGGCCATAAGCCATGTAGTCGTGAAAGCTCAACACCATATGGCCTCCCATTATTGCACCGTGTCGGAACTATGCCATAGGTTGCTAGGGAGGTTAGTCCATTGGCGTGAGAATCAAAGACTAGAGACGAAGCACTAACTACTCCAACAAAGGCCAACATTTCGCTTGGGGGTGGCAATCCAGGGGGATGATGGGAAGATGCGCATTTATTTGGGCTGGTTAGCGGCGCTTTGAATTGTAGAGCATTCAGGGAACAATCAGTGGTTCTGGTGATCTAGTCAGAACTACGGCCAATAGCCATGTAGTCGTGAAAACTCGAGACCATATGGCCTACCATAATTGCACTGAGTCGGAACTATGCCATCGAGTTGCTAGGGAGGTTAGTCCATTGGTGCGAGTATCATAGACTAGAAGCGAAGCACTAATTATTGGAAGAATGGGTACAATTTAGCGCGTTTATATGCCAATCAAAGTGTGCTACATGCGTCGGCTTTAATTAAAGACGATCGTCCATGTATTACTCGTCACTTTGCACTTTGGGCAATAGGGGATGGTTCGGAGAGTGGCAGAGGCACTGAGTCACATAGGATGGTCGTTGAAGAAATATGGAGGCTGGTGGATGCGGTAGTGCAGACGGTGAATTGTGGCTTCGGATACTTGAGGTTGATTGATGGTGATGGAGATATTTATGTAGAGTCACTTCGGTATGGTAGCTAGGAGAAAATATAGGAGAGAAATGTAAGGATAGAAGATAATGATAGAGAGAGGATGTATATGTAATAAATGTATGCTATATTGTATGAGGGATGTTTATTTTGTACTTACTTTAGATGTGTGTAAACCCAGGGCAATATGGCTGGTGGTATTTTAGGCGGTGGCTTTTTCTTGGAACACTGATGCTGGTTGTATTTATACACTCAGTTGACTCTCACATATGTTTATTAAAAAGGCGGGATATTTTGTTACACACAGTCTCTCTTTATATGATGTTTATTGTTTTCAAAATGGCGCGCACTTATTTTGGTTCTTGGACACAAGAGCTAGGAAATATATTTGCACGGAGTTTCTATTTATAAAGCTCACTCACACAAAAACACTAGTTTCTTGGATTAATTTATTAAAAATATAACTTAGTTTGCTTTGGGAAGTTTTCTCTTTAATTCTTCTTTGGGGTATTCAAAATGGCGCGTAAACTATTTTGCTTTTGACACACAACACTGGCGCCATGAATTCGCATGAAGTTGTAGGACGTTGGTTAATTCCAGGAATGCAACACTTATTGGCACTGAAATTGCACTAGGAAAAACACTTTTCTTGAATAATTTTCACTTATTGGAATCTCGTTGTGATTTAATATGTATTTCGCGGATTTTTCTTGTGTTTTTGCAATATTTTTTCACTTTATTTACATAGAAATTCTTTGGCGTCTAGCTTTTCCAGGAACTGAACACAACACTGGGTGGTAAAACAATGAAAAAACACTTTTCTGCACATATAAACACTTGCACTTCACTTGATGCTTGCTTCTTATTTGATGGATTACAATTTTCGCGCGCTTTTTGGATGATTTTTACATTATTTTTACCAATTAGAACGAATGTTTACAAAAGCGGGAGAAGAATTAGAAAATGCCGCCAAATTGGAGAATAGGGTACTGAAAATCGATTTTGAGCGATAAATATCGATACAAGTGCGGGTCGGAAATCGATAACTATCGATAGTTGACGGCGATAGTAAGTTGACGCCGATAAATTTGACCGTGTTGAATTTCGGTTGACGGCGGTAAGAGTGGAAGGCGATGAAATTATTTTCGATGGACTTTGGGAAAAATGGAGAATGGCGGCAAAAGCGAAGGAGAAAGCCGAGAAATAAAGGAAATATATTGCAAAGGAGCAGTACATAAGCAGAGGTATTTTTTGCAGTTTAAAGAATGAATCGCGGATGTTATTAACAATGGAAATCGTTTTTCTGCATAGAAATGACACGTAAAAATGTGATGATGTGAAATAAGAAGAAATACATATGTAATATTTGGATAAATGACAATGGAAAGTATATGCGGGTCGATCAGTCATCTGGACATTTTCCTCAGCAATATTCTCCGTTGATGCTGCTATGATCGGGAATATATGTTGCACACGCGTGTAAACTACATACAAGCGGTAGTTGTGTAAAAAAATTGTGGCCATAAACAGAACTAAATCGCATTGATGTGACGATGTGATCCCTTTTAACATTGCATATTATTAACTACACAGGTCGGCGTTTTATACACAGGAATGATGCCGAAAGAAGATTGCCGTAAAATATGGTGCAATTCAGCAATGAATAGATGAACGGAAGACGGAGAAAGGCGCGAAATGGATAAGGAAAATTGTAGCAGATTCATCTATTTCGCAATATTCTGGAAGGAGCTTTAGAATTGTTGCATTTTTAAATGTATGATAAAAAGACCGATGTTTAGAATAGTTTACAATGAGATGCGGTTGTACATAAAGTGCTTTCTGTAATAAAATTCATTTTTAAAAATAATATGTGTCGTTTTTCAATTTATGAAGAATTTATATGCTGGCAAATGCAATCCAATCACATTCTACTTATAATGCGTCGGTTATATTTCAGCAATGTCATCCACAAGGCAGTCTTTCAATTTGAGCAGCATTGGTTTACCATTAGCGTCCTGTAATCATTTCTCCATATACTGACAGACTTCCTATAATACAAAGTGTGGTTTGACACTAAATTACTATTTAGATAGTTGATGTAACATTTGGGATGTCCCAAAAATCCTTTAAATAAGCTTTTGGATGACGCAAGTCCAAGGGTTATAGATTCACCAAGTCTAATATCATAACTGGTTGTCCACATTACCACACTTTTGGGAAAGTATCTGGTTATCGGAAGGTTGACATTGCTAGGACGCCATAGCCAGTAGCACACCGTACTCCTTCGAAATATGCCGCGAAGTAACAACGTACATTGGTTCAAGTAAATCGCAACTTTTTCCTACGCAATGATAGGCAATTCAGCTTCAAGTTCAGCATTCCTAAAAGTAAGCTTTAGATGAGTGGACTTGTGACGATAGAAATGATTATTTCAAGTGTAATACTTACTTTGGAATCTTTTTACGCATAGTTGATATGATGTCGGCTATATTGTTGCCTGTTTAGTTGTCTTTGTTGCATATTTTTGTTACAATATGTGGTTTTTCCATTTTGGCGGTTGATGATGATGGTTCACACATGCATTCGCGATTCAAAGAAATGCACAAGTTTGAAGAAAAATGCAAAGTGATTCCCACTTCAGCGCTGGCAACCTTTTCTTGTCGATGTCGTGATGGTAATCGAAGTCATCACTTTTTATGTCAGAGTATGAGTTGTATTTTAGCGGTAAATAGTATGCACAGATTGATGGGACAATAGGAATAAAAAGGAGCTTTGAATCAGAATGTCAAATGGCACTCACACCCTCACACTACAGTGCTGACAACAAACTCATCGATGTCGAAGTAGTTGATTTATTGTTATCGGCTTTTCATTGCTTCTCTGAACAAACGGGATGTTAATTTAGGGTGAATGATATAGGTGGTGTTTGTATTGTTCGTTTTGTTACTATGTTGGCGGCAAGAGTCAGTCAAATTGGTTTAATTTAATGGTTAGGCATAGCAAACGCAGCACACTCTTGTAAGTTTTGTTAAAAGTTGCTTTCAGTTGTGGTGAAGTTTATCATAGGTCAAGGACAAAGTAACGTCGTAGCATGTTTGATCATTACATACTTTCTTCAAAACGTAACTGCTATTTATCCGCGCATTTTAATAAGAAAATTCAGCAGAACTCGTTACTTTACAGTCCTTAAGCACGATACGTCCATTTTCAGGTTATTATTGTAGCAATCGTTGCCCTATTTTAGTTGTGTGCACATAAAAAAATTGATTGTGAACGCCTTCAGAATAATGTAGGAATTTGATTTAATTAGCAAGTATTCCTTTGCAGATATAGAGCTGATATGCTGTCGGCAATATCATAGCCGTTATCTCCAATAATATAATAAAAATTGAATGTGGATACATAAATGGGAACAACTCTAGTTTAGTAAAATCTCTTCGATTTTTTTCGCAATTTTTCCCAGAGGTAGGTATTTTTACCCGGATTCCGGAAAACTATTTTTTTTTCTTGGGGGATTAACCCGCGACTCCAGATTTTCTATCCGAAAGTCCTGGTTCAAGACACGGATTCACTTACACGATTAGACAATAATGTTTTTTTTTATAACCGGTTCGAGAGTTATAGCCAAATTATCGAATTTTTTTAAAGTCCCCGAAAAGTCAAAAAGAAGTTCCCATTATGATGGTCAACAATATTGATGCCAAATTATAGCTGACGCTCTCACCTTTCCAAAATCCTACAATTTGTGTTAACGTCTTTTTCGGGACGGATAGGGGCCTCAGATTTTTGACTCAAAGTCTTGGCCCCGGGAGGTTTCCGAAGTAAGAGAAATATACAGGGCAACTATTGCATTTGTAGCGTCAACGACGGCGTTGAGATATACAAATAAAAACACAAAGTCGTATAGATTCATACGTGCGATCTGCCCTAAGTCAAAGAAATAAATCTGGCAACTGTCGCATTGGTGGCATTAACAACGGCGTTGAGCTACAGAAATGTTTTACGGCGGTAAGGCTGTATAACATTGTGGCTTCTATTTCTGATTCATAATACATATAACCAAAAATTTGCAGCAATTAAGGAAAAATATATTAGTTTTCAATTTAAAAGAAAAAGAAATCAAACAGTCGCTTCGCAGGTGAGACCCGTAGAAGAATTTTATTGCCAAAAGATGGCTGCTCATTTCCGATTGTATATAAAGTTGTTTAAGCAAAATGCCAAATGCATGGGTACAGATTTTGCACATCCTAGCTAGAAATATCTTATACAAATGCATGCCTTTTTTTCTACCTACAACATAACATGGAATGATGGTGCAGCATTGTTCATTGAGCAATATCCATTGTTTTATGATGAATAATTCTTTTGCGCTGGGAAAAAAGTTTGTTGGGAAAAAAGTTTGTTGGTGGTCATCTGCCTTTAGCAAAAGTCTAGTCTTGCAAAAAATCGCGTAGAAAAACCTTGTTATATGTATGTACGTCGGTTTTCAACTTGTACACACAACTTGCTTTGAAAGTGTTTACGTTTTCCCCACAAGAAAAAATAACCACGTAGTGCGGTCTATGTACCCACACAAAATATTGCATTATTTCCAAATAAGAAAAAACTGTAAATTTTACAGGAAAAAGTAGAAACGCCTTGATTTACCTGCTATGTTAATACCAAATGAACGTCGGTTCCATTTTTTATGCCCCGTACCACCCAGCGATGCAGAGTATTTTGTGTTTGCACATTTGTAACATGCAGAAAGATACAAGGAAGACCCATAATTAATGGTAATGAACTTCATTAAATAAGTTTTTGAATCCAAGTTGGCGTGGTTGTCGGCCTACCCATTTTTATTGGCGTGATTAAGGAAACTTATACTGGAATTCTTTTTTTTATTGATAGTCGATGCCCAGCTATACTCTAATACAAGAATATTTTCTGCAGCTAAAACACAAATTAAAATTATTTTCAATTAATTCCCAAGTCGATTAAAATACCTTTACGGCAAGGACAATAATCGAATGAGATCGGTTATAGTATATATTTCACATCACTTTATATGTACGTTATTTGAAAGTTTTATATCAAATTTTAAAATATTGTGGTTTCAGTGTGACTAACATAGAGAATTCTCTGCTACTGAAATATAAATATTAATAATTTTAAATAATATCAAAGAAAACAACGTGGCTCGAGACGGTTTGCGACAATGTTAATTATGTACTCACAAATAGATAGTTTTACATTCACGATTCGTTTTAAAGGGCGCCTATGTTAAAAACACGTTTAATAAAAGTAATCGTGTTCGAATGACAAACTATTTCACAGAAATTTCTTATTGAATTTGACGGAAAGTATGTAACTCAAAAAATAAACTACACAAGGTTCAGAGGCATAAGACGACTACATGATGTACTTCAGATTAAAAAAAGCAAAATAATCATCACGCTTTACTAAAAATTTAAAAAGCGATTTATTTTGCCTTTTATTTACTTAACTTTTCTATATTGTACAGATATACGATGTAAATTTAAATAACACAAAAGCTTAATATTCCTCTTGATTTTTGGCCAGAAGTTTCTAAACAAAATATTCTTAAAAACTCCACAATTTATATATAGCCAAAATGTCTTAAAAATATTTAAAAAAAGCTATGCCTTTTATTGTCGAGACGTAATTTTCTTGTTTTTAATTTGCCATTTATAAATTGTTGATATCCTTGAAACATTTGAAATAAATCTGCCGTTTAGAAGGGCAATAAAAAACTTTAATTTTTTTAAATTTAAAAATTCTTGCCTATTAAGTTTTTGAGAAATAATTAAAATAGCACACGATTTTCGACCAGGTAATTTAAAAGTTTAAAAATGATATTCGTGAATACATGTTACAGGTTTTTGCCAAAAAAACTTAATAAACACACGACATTTTTGTCAAGAAGTCATTGTAAAAAATGTCTTCAAAATTACGGGGCCCAGTAAAAATTGTTCTTCTTAAAAAACTTTTGTCGTAGGAGGCGTTGTAAAAACGTACATAGCCTCACCTTATGATGATCTAGTCTGCTAGTCGAGGAATAGTGGAATGCATTTTATTCAGCTTGTGACTCGTGGCGAAGTGCCAGAAAGAGTAGACCGGTATTTTACATTTTTATACATCAATAAAGTTTGAGGTACCACAAAGAGCGAACCAATGTATTCTACCTTCAAACTACATCTATATTTAGCTCTAATTTATAATTATGAAGAATATGTGGCTGTAATTTCACGTTTTATGAGAGTAAATATACAAACTTTGGTGGAGCGTTATGAGAAATAAGGAGGAAATGTCGATTTTCCCACACAACTTATTTTTTATGGCGATATCCTAGTATATCGTATATCGTAGACAGATATTGCTTCTCTTCAAAGTCCATTAATTTTGAAAAAAATAAATTGAGTACCAATTCGCGACAAAATCGGATGCAATTTTAGGAATTTTCCTGTTCTTTGAATATCTTTGATCGATTGCAAACGTCCTAAATAGGGTTTCGCTAAACAGTTAATTCAATGAAACACATTTGACCGTATTAAATGATATATGATATAAGAGACTAATATAAAAATTTATTGATTCATATTACATACAATTATATTTCGTTATAGTGAATATAGTCAAGCGGCCTATTTCCTTGTTCTACATATAAAAAAAGAGATAAAAAACAATCAATATGACGTGGGAGCCGAGTGCAGATGGTTTGCAACAAATCATAACTATTCTTAAGGAATCACAATCTCCTAATACGGCAACACAAATGGCAGTCCATATGGTGAGTAAATACTTAAAATAATCGCATAATTTGTTGTAGAAGGTATTCTATTTATTTACGTATGTTTTACGATGTTAAGTTTATTGATATTCTTAGCATTTAAACAAACACCATTAATAGACCCCCAATAAATCACTTAAAGACCCCAGGATTGCCGAAGGTGTGATAAAATGTTGGGAACATTCAAAAAAATATGTGCCTAACTCAAAATGTTTAATAATGTTTTTATTTAGGAAGAAACTTTTTACTTTAATTTTTAATTTATTTAATATTCTTTGAATAGCCATATATCCATATTTCTAATGTTTCTGACGTTAATTTGGTGGATCGATCTTCATTATGATTACGTTTATTAGAGTTTTTTGGAGTTATTGTTTACTTGGACGTTGTGTATTTTGCTATTCCTTTATATTATTATGGCTGGGGAGTCAACGAAGAGAAAAATAAAGTATAGTTTTAAATATTTTTTTATTATAACTATTAAATACTCAGGTTTAGCTAGCGATGTAATATTATTTCATGGTCTTAAAGGTCCTGTATTACACAAATGAATTCAAACAAATAAATAAATATTGAAGAGAACAATATATACTGGGTAGTACAATGTCGTTGTGCGGCTAGAAAGCGGATTATTTCGCGTTTCAATCATGCCTTTTGCAAGCTTTTTTCAAGTGTGTGTCCGTTAAAATATTTAAAGCTCCAAAAAGGCGTTTTTTTTTAATTCCATTTTCCAATATAAAAAAGTAATAAGAATACCTTTTCGTGATAATGGAAATCGTTTAAAAAATCAAAAGAAAATGATTTGAAACAAGATTACAATTACAAGACATTAAATTCCACATAGACATATTTTTATTTTTATCTTCCAAACGCTTTATAATGATTAATTTAACAACTTGGTTTATTCGACATAGCCAAAATCTTTCTTGCAAAGAGGAAATTTATGAAATTAAAATATATTTTGAAATCTTATAAGTAAAATTTTAAATAAATGTATAGCATTTGTAAGTAGTTGTCCTCTAAAAGCATTAATGCTTGTATGTATACAACCAGCGAAATATTTAATGTCGAACTATACGTTTCTGTATAAAGAAGTCGCGATTTCTACAAGGGCGATTTCGCGATTTCTACAACGGCAAGTGTTTATTCAATTCTTCATCTTATTTGTCGGCTTGTCTATTCTTATATCGGAAACTTCAATTTTCAACTTTTGCGGGTGCATCAACGATTTTAGTACATGAGATAAGAAGAATGTGTAGATTTAAATATTTTTTTGTTCACAAAATTAGAATGATTCATGTGCGATTTACAACGATCCATTTTGTCTTTTAAAGAAAAATTACATTTAAAATGATAATTTATTTAAAAATTATCAACTGCATTGTATATATATATATTGGTAGTTTATTGAAATAATTCAAAATTATACCCCATAAGAACCTTAAAAAAAAATTTAAAAGTATTACATAATATAGCCAACGTCTTGAAGAATATGAACTTAAAATTATGAAATGATTATAAGTTGAATATAAATGCAACAAAGAAGACTGTGACGATACAAAAATGAATGGGAAAGAAATGCACAACTCCAAATTAACTTTTCATATTATTAATTTTTTGGTTTAAAAATTTAACTATTAATATAAAATAAAAAAAAAAAAACACATTTGAAAGATGTCTTTCACTTTCGTCATATAAAAACAAACTCTTGTTAAAGAGAAAACACCTTTTTTGGTATATGGGAGTATAGTTTCAAATATTTCTTAGTTTTAGTTAAAAAAAGTAAAAAAATGTGTTTTATTCCGGCTCATCGATTATTTCTCTAAATTTAATGCATTCAAAAGAAAAAAAAAACATTTGAAAAGATGTCTTTCACTTTCGGCATATAAAAACAAACTCTGGTTAACGAGAAAATACCTTTTTCGGTATATGGGAATATAGTTTCAAATATATTCTTAGTTTTAGTTAAAAAATAAAATAAATGTATTTTATTCCGGTTCATCGAATATTTCTCTAAATTAAATATTAAAAAATAATTAGCGTATTCTGCATTTAATTAGTCTAGAAACTAATATTATATGTATGTTCTTGTATTGTATTATGTATGAGTTATATGTATGTTATTATTGACCTGGTAAATTGCTTGAAAGACAAAAATATTAAGAATTACGACGTGTGTAATTCGCACACTCTTTAAAATTGAAATAATTCAAAATTAATCCCCATAAGAACATTAAAAAAAGATTTAAAAGTATTACAGAATATAGCCAACGTCTTGAAGAATATGAGCTTAAAATTATGAAATGATTATAAGTTGAATATAAATGCAACAAAGAAGACTGTGACGATACAAAAGTGAATGGGAAAGAAATGCACAACTCAAATTAACATTTCATACTATTATTTTTTTTTTTTTTTGGTTTAAAAATTTAACTATTAATATAAAATTAAAAAAAAACACATTTGAAAGATGTCTTTCACTTTCGTCAGATAAAAACAAACCCTTGTTAAAGAGAAAATACCTTTTTTGGTATATGGGAGTATAGTTTCAAATATTTCTTAGTTTTAGTTAAAAAAAAGTAAAAAAATGTGTTTTATTCCGGCTCATCGATTATTTCTCTAAATTTAATGCATCCAAAAGAAAAAAAAAACATTTGAAAAGATGTCTTTCACTTTCGGCATATAAAAACAAACTCTGGTTAACGAGAAAATACCTTTTTCGGTATATGGGAATATAGTTTCAAATATATTCTTAGTTTTAGTTAAAAAATAAAATAAATGTATTTTATTCCGGTTCATCGAATATTTCTCTAAATTAAATATTTAAAAATAATTAGCGTATTCTGCATTTAATTAGTCTAGAAACTAATATTATATGTATGTTCTTGTATTGTATTATGTATGAGTTATATGTATGTTATTATTGACCTGGTAAATTGCTTGAAAGACAAAAATATTAAGAATTACGAAGTGTGTAATTCGCACACTCTTTAAAATCACTCAAGGCGCATACGACTTCGGTGTACAGTGTATTATTGTCTTTAGATACTTATAAAATTTCCGATGTTTTATTCAGCGACCCAATTGTGCCGTCAGTTGCATCTTACTATAGTTTAAACCTTCAAATGCGATATACATAGTTTTTTTTATTTCTTATAATTTTGTTAAGTCTTGCGGTGATTATAGATTCTGTTGCCAACAATAAAATTGTTATTTAATTCGGAGTATATGGTTTTTGGCCGTTGGCCGTAAACATTGTTAAAATAATTAGTAGTACCAGTAAAGTTTTTGTTACTGAAGGGGCGCATACATTCGCTTGCGATATATTGTGTATTATATAAGTTGTAGCTTAGAAACGCAATATCCCTAAAAAGAAAATATTTCAATTACTAAAAATAAAATTACCTTAACTAATAATGTATATCAACTATTTCAGAAATTGGAAGAATTGAACCATTATCCTGATTTTAACAATTATTTGATTTATGTTCTAACCAAATTAAAAACTGAAGACGAACCTACCCGCTCATTAAGTGGGTTGATATTGAAAAACAATATTAGAACTCATGGCAACAACCTACGTCCAGAAATTGTGGAATATATCAAACATGAATGTTTGCAGGCAATTGGTGATCCCTCGCCCCTTATAAGAGCCACTGTGGGAATTTTAATAACAACAATAGCCAGCAACGGTGGTTTGCATAACTGGCCTCAATTGCTGCCATCATTGTGTGACATGCTAGATTCGCAGGACTACAATGTTTGCGAGGGTGCATTCAGTGCTCTCCAAAAGATCTGCGAAGATCATGCAGAGGTCTTGGATTCCGCAGCGCTTAATAGACCACTGAATGTTATGATACCGAAGTTTTTGCAATATTTCAGTCACAATAGTCCAAAAATAAGATCACATGCGATTGCATGTATCAACCAATTCATAATGATACGCTCTCAAGCTCTGATGTTGCATATTGACACATTTATTGAGAGTCTTTTTAACTTGTCTTCAGACGACGATCATGAAGTACGAAAAAATGTTTGCCATGGCCTTGTAATGTTGCTTGAAGTGCGAATGGACCGTTTACTACCACATATGCCTCAGATTATAGAATACATGTTAATGAGAACCCAAGATTCCGACGAAGGTGTCGCACTAGAAGCGTCGGAGTTTTGGCTCTCCTTAGCGGAACAAAGCATATGTAAGGAAGTTTTGACACCTTATCTCTCCCAACTGGCACCAGTTTTAGTGAAGGGAATGCGCTATTCCGAGATTGATATAATACTTCTCAAGGGAAATGTTGAAGAGGATGATATGGTACCTGACCGCGAAGAAGACATACGGCCAAGATTCCATAAATCAAGAACTCATACAATAAAATCCAATGAAGCTGTTGCCAGCGGGGATGATGATGATGACGATTTCGATGATGGTTTGGATGATGATAGCTCTTTATCGGAATGGAACCTGAGAAAGTGCAGTGCAGCAGCACTAGATGTTCTAGCCAACGTGTTCCGCGAAGATTGTTTGCCTATCGTTCTTCCCATTTTGAAGGATACACTGTTTCATCAAGATTGGGTAATAAAAGAAAGTGGTGTTCTGGCACTAGGCGCTATCGCAGAAGGCTGTATGCAAGGCATGATCCCTCATTTACCCGAATTAATACCCTATTTAATAAGTTGTCTGTCAGATAAAAAGGCACTTGTACGTTCCATTACTTGCTGGACGTTGTCACGATATGCTAATTGGGTCGTTAATCAGCCACACGATCAATATTTAAAACCACTAATGGAGGAACTACTGAAACGTATTTTGGATTCAAATAAGCGTGTGCAGGAAGCGGCTTGTTCAGCTTTTGCTACACTGGAAGAAGAAGCTTGCACTGAGCTAGTTCCCTATTTAGAATACATTCTACAAACTTTGGTATTCGCATTCTCAAAATATCAACATAAAAATTTGTTAATCCTTTATGACGCAGTTGGCACTTTAGCCGATTCAGTAGGGCACCATTTGAATAAACCACAGTACATCGATATATTGATGCCCCCTTTAATAGAGAAATGGAACCTTCTGAAAGATGATGATAAAGATTTATTTCCATTGTTGGAATGTTTGTCTAGTATAGCTACTGCTTTACAATCTGGATTTCTGCCGTATTGTGACCCAGTGTACAGACGGTGTATATCATTAATTGAGCAAACAATTAATCAAGATATGGTCAGTAAAAAACTAAACTTAAGACATAATTAAGCAATAACTCAAATGATTTTATTAGGCTTACAAGCAAAATCCAGGAATTGATCATCCTGATAAAGAGCGTATGATTGTAGCATTAGATCTGCTCTCCGGTCTGGCTGAAGGATTAGATGGTCATATTGAGTCGTTGGTTGCTAATAGTACCATTATGCAGTTGTTATATCAGTGCATGCAAGACGCCCTTCCGGAAGTGAGTATAACAAACGAATTATTCTAAATTTTGAATTTTAATTCACACTTTGTGCTCTTTCAGGTCCGGCAGTCTTCATTTGCGTTGCTGGGCGATTTAACTAAAGCCTGTTTTCAACATGTTCACCCATTTATGTCTGAATTTTTTCCAATTTTGGGACAAAATCTAAATCCAGATTACATTTCTGTTTGCAACAACGCAACATGGGCTATTGGAGAAATTTGTATGAAGCTAGGTAAGTAATTTTTTACTTAAGTAATTTTTTTACTTACTTCCAATTTTACATAGGCGAAGAAACCAGACAGTTTATTCATCTGGTTCTAAAAGAATTGATAGTAATCATAAATCGACCAAACACGCCCAAAACTCTTTTGGAAAACACAGGTAAGTACATAATTTAGAAAATATGTTTTATATACATAATATGATAACCCCCCTAACATATAAACATGGAAGTGCATAACACATTGAGCACGAAAATTATAGGTTGAAAAATTGTATATGCAATGTTTATTAGGAAGCGTAGGATATGGCTATCTTACAATCTCAAGTGATAAGCATTCATCTTTTTACTCCACGGAAACAGCGATTTTTTCTAAAAAATCAAATAGATGAGAGTTTGAAAAAATTAATAAATATATACTTTAATTTGTCTTACATGTTCAAGAGTGGTCGTGTTTCACCTAAATTTAGTTTGCTTTATACAAGTCTTTTGTTTTTTTTTTTTTTTTTTTCATAACAATGATGTTTGGTGTATTTGTAAAAATATTAAATGTAGTAAAAGATTTTATCATACGTTCAATTTATTCATAATGTGTTGCTACCCTTTGCTCGAATTTTTGCACAACGGCGATTTTACATTTCATTAGATTTTATTTGATAAATAATACAAATAATAGTAATAAAACTACTGCACATATTTTTTGATAAGTGTGTGATTAATCCAATTTCAAAATGGCGCACGAGTTAAAATTTTTATACGATTTAGATGAAACACGCAAGAATATTCTAGTTTATCTTAGTCCCTTGGGTCTTCTGCTAATGAGCTTTCTATCGTCAATTGGTATAAACAAGTTTTGTCATGCGATTTCTTTAAATAGCTCCTGGGTAAAGTATCGCCAAATAGCAGTGGGGAATTATAAACATTATCAGATAAATATTATCATCTTTTCCCTAATAAATGCCGTTTTTATAAAAGAACAAAAAAAAAAAAGATAAATAAATATCTTAACCCGACAAATAAATGTCAACACTGACCTGTAAATATTAACGACTTATACTATTTAAAGTTCAGCTCTATACTACACAAATTTAAAATCTTCTGGCTAATTGAAGAATTAGTGCAGACTCCTTATTAGAGAATGAAGATAGGTCGTTTCACAAGTTTTCCCCATTGAGCTGTGTCTAACGTTAATAAGAGTCGAACAGTGGCAGAGCAAATGTTCGACCATCTCGATTTCTGTTTTTTTACCGCAAAGATTTCCGCCTGGAATACACTGCAGTCGTTGCTGGACTTGTAGTATTCACGAACGTTAAGAGAGTCACAGAGGACTCCAACACCCGTTCCGAATTCCATATCGGAATCGACCGTAAATTCAGCTATACCGCAAAAGGTTGAGTACTACGGGTTCAGACGTCTTTGTCAGGTATGTGGATGTCACGTGGATCGAAGTTCAACTGTGTTGATATGTAGACACTTGTGTTGGCTTCTGCTCTTGCGATGTCCACACGCCGTAGGATCGCAAAATATCCATAGGATTGACTGCGCCATTGTTTTAGTTCTCCGAGTCGAAGGACGCTCCTAATTGCTTTTCCTCTAGATGGATGCTTAGTGGGCTTAGGCACAGCAGGATGTCCAGGCCTGCCAGAGGCATGCTACTGAAAGCAGCTGCAGCGTAATCATCTTGACAGATTCTACAGTAATCAATATCATCGCTGTTCCATTAAGATGTCATTGGTCTCACACAGCAGTGACCTGTGATGCCAACTTCGTTGTTCCTGGTTACCAATAGGTCATTGGTTTTTTACCGCAAAGATTTCCGCCTGGAATACACTGCAGTCGTTGCTGGACTTGTAGTGTTCACGTACGTTAAGAGAGTCACAGAGGACTCCAACACCCGTTCCGAATCCTATATCGGAATCTTCCGTACATTCAGCTATACCGCAAAAGGTTGAGTACTACGGGTTCAGACGTCTTTGTCAGGTATGTGGATGTCACGTGGATCGAAGTTCAACTGTGTTGATATGTAGACACTTGTGTTGGCTTCTGCTCTTGCGATGTCCACACGCCGTAGGATCGCAGAATATCCATAGGATTGACTGCACCATTGTTTTAGTTCTACGAGTCGAAGGACGCTGCTAATTGCTTTTTCCTTTACGTGGATGCTTAGTGGGCTTAGGCACAGCAGGATGTCCAGGCCTGCCTGAGGCATGCTACTGAAAGCAGCTGTTATCAAGAGCGATGCGTTTCTTTGAAATTTTACAAATGTCATATATATGATGACTTATTTAAGCAGAGCTACCAGACTAAAGCTCCATAGGGAGAACAGTTGCCTTATATACCCATTTTATTATATGTGGTTTAAGGTCCCAACTTTATCGAGGGCATTTGGCTTCTGAGGAGAGTGTTGACGTGACTCCATACAGCATAGGTGGTATGAAAGAAATTTGTTGGTAAAATAGTTTATTGAGAAGTGGGGATCCCAAGTATTCACCATCAGAACGGAAAATGAACACCAATCAACTCGTTTTCTTTCCCTGAAATTCACTTTTCTTTGTAGAAATTTTTGTACGGTTTAGATGAACACAATTTCTTATTGTTGTCTTCCTCCTTTTTAAGGATAAATTGATATGGTTATCTTATAGGTATAAATTGTTAATGATATCTGGTTGCCATATACAGTTTTTAAACAAAGAGAGCATTTTAAAAGCAAGCATTTAATTTTTGTTTTTTATTTAAAATGTGTATATGCAACAGTTTATTAGAAAATATATGAATCTATCACAATTAGGATACTAATTTGAATATAACATGATACTGTTTTTATTGTAGCTGCACCCATTATTTGCCTAAGTTGCAAACTAAGCTATCAAGTTCATTCCATTTTGCTAAAACCAAATGCTCTTTTCAATTTTATGTTATTATACATTTAATTTTTGTTTTATTCTTTTATAGCTATTACTATTGGTCGTCTAGGTTATGTGTGTCCAGTTGAAGTCGCTCCTTATTTGCCAGAATTTGTAAGACAGTGGTGTGTAAATCATTTAATTTTAGTATTAATCGATATGTGTTACTGATTATTGACTTTTATTGTAGCATAATCTAATCTGGTTCGATTTTTAGTTTTAATAATTGTTTTTGTTTACATTGATATAGGTGCACTTCTTTGCGCCATATAAGGGATAATGATGAAAAGGATTCAGCATTTCGTGGCATGTGTCATATGATAACCGTCAATCCAGCGGGCGTTGTGCCAGATTTTATATTCTTCTGCGATGCAATCGCTTCGTGGGTAAACCCACCGCAGGATTTGCATCAAATGATACAAAAGGTAAGTATAGAAATGTGAAACCATTTAAAAAAACTAACGTAATTTGAATCCTTACAACAGATTCTGCATGGTTTCAAAACTCAAGTTGGTGAAGAAAACTGGCGTCGTTTCGTTGATCAATTTCCACCAACATTGTCTGAACGGTTGGTGGCGATGTACAGCATATAAATTGGAATCACATTAATGGCTTGGTATGTGGTCATAACTATGTTGGGACGAAACGTAAGGGAAAATATGTTAATTACAGTAGTTGATACCTATTGATTTTCTTCATTCGACGGATTATTTCTTAAGTTTAAAACTGGGATAAAGCGATGGATTCGTACACAAAATATAAACTATTAATTAATATATACATATATAATAGATACGTCTGTCAGAACGAAAGGACATTAAATTGCTAAATATAAATGGCTATCAAATTCATGTAAACATCAAAAAATATCAAGCACAATTCTGTCGACATTAAAAATAGAGGTTTTTGATATTAATGTCTTCTTTAACCACAAGTCTCGATCTTGGTCAGCAATGCAAGGTTAAATGCATAAAGTATTTCTTAAGGAGAATCTCGTTAAATATCGTAGTATGCTTTCTTGTTTTAAGAAAATTATGTTACGTGCGTTTTACAACATATTTTTCCCGAAATATGTTAACGCCAAAAATCTACAATACTTAAGACTATTTTTGAGTAGATCACTCAAAATTATATGTAATTTTCGAAACAATGTTAGGAATATGCATTATTATTTTTAACAGTTATGCTTACTTCGCGATTATAACTTAGAACGTACCCGTACTGAGCTTTGTTTAATGCCTTGGTCTTAACACCACATTCTTTGTAAGATCAATACCTTACAACCATTTTGGTTTGTGCTAATTCTTGATTCATTTTCAGTTTACAATAATCTCGGATTTATAGAAACATTCTATGTTAGATACAATTTTTATTTAACCGCTGCCAAGTTTTCTCCCAAATTTTGATTTTTTTCTTGGAGATTGTAGTTCCAACAACATATATAAAAGCGAATGTCGAGTTTCTGCTGCAGAGTTGAAAATATAGAATGTGGTTAAAGAAGCATTGACATAGACAGTTTAATGAAATTTCGTGTGTATGCAGTTACTATATTTTATTACGTTTTATAATTTCCTTAGAAAATGTAAGTTTTGTTTCGTTCGTACTTAAATTGAAAACATTTTGTTATTTTTTTGAATCTTAGCTTTCTTATGGTGAAGAAAGGCGTTTATTGGAAATTAATTTTTTTGTTATCGCGTAATTACAATTTTGCCAAAATAATTAAAATGAAAAACCTAAATATTTATCTCAGTGAAGAAGAATCGAGTTAAAATGTGTTTTTGTTTGTGTATATATGCACATTCTTTCGACGTTCTTTGTTTTAAACGCTGCTTTTAAACACTTCTATATATCTTAACTCTTTTTGCCTTCGCAGAGGTCTTATTTTCGTTTCGGGTTTTATCGGTAACGGGTTCGCGTTTTTAATCGTCGTTCGTTCGTTCGTTCGTTAATCAACTAATTCTCTCGTCGGTCGGTCGTTCAATCGTAACTAAATTATTGTTAGGGTTCGCGCTATAGAACAAATTTAATAGAAACTCATCTCTCCTTAGTATAAACAATAGTATTATATTTATTTTGTAACTATCGCAAATTCATTTTTAATGAATGTTTTATTTTTACTACTTTGGCTTTAAAAAGATTGGCAGAAACATATTGTTTTCCTTTTCTAAAAGTGAAGGGAAACAAAATGTACAGGTATTTATAAGAAGACCTATTAAATAATTCTTGTCGTGTCATTACTCAACATATTTCTTTTTTATTTCATTAATAAAACAAAAGTAAACAAAAGACTTATTTTTATAATTATTAATAAAAACATGTAGGCTTACAACACATCATAAACGTGTAAATTAAAAATTCAAGATAAATATTTTGTGTTTTAACAAATAATAATTAATGGGGATTATGTGATCTGTCAATACGTGTGATATAAATTAAAATTTCGGTTTCGCGTCGGGTATCAATTAATAATATGGTCCTCCGCCCCGGGTCCAAATATAACTTAATAAAACTAAATCGTCGCGTAGTTTGTATATAAAAATACATAGAATAGTATTTAAAACGGTCGTGATTTCGTATGTACCTAAACCAAATTCACCGCGGAATTTGGTCGCGTTCGCGTTTTCTCTCGGGTGATTATTTAAATATATAAGCTAAGATATAATAAGAAAAATACACAACAACTATTTTCATAAAAACTTGTAAAAACAATATTAATAACGCAAGGTATCATTTATTGAAACATTTCTCAAATTTGGTTGATTCTTAATATTGAGTTGAATATTTTAAGTTTTTCTATCAAAAATCTGCATACACCTTTTATTATAAACATGCTACGTATATATATATATAACATTAAAGCGACTAATTTTGTCGTAGTAGGTACTGTAAACCACTTGAAGTTTATAACATTATAACATTTTATCAAATATACATATAAATACAGTTCATAATAAACTAATCATTTTGTTTAATTGTTTTCTTACATTGTAACTGGCCATGTAAGTATATTCGTTACACGATCAGTCCTATGTTTTTGTAAACACATTAGTCTCTAAAAAATTACGTGATGCAGGACTCATTACGGTTATGTCATCTAGGGATGAAGATAGTGATTGCTAAATTATAGTAAATTAAGACGAACGAGTAGATTTTTTTTACAAAATAAGGTGGTACATTTTCGATGGTTATTATCTTGGATATCTTTTGGAATTTTATTTTGAACTTCTTGCCAGGAGAGCGTTAATATTTTGTTGCTTTTGTTATTCCGCCTGTCTGTTGAAATCAAGATACAACCCACATTATTTGACGTAGAGCTTTAACATTTGGCACAATATTCGGTGTTTTGATGGTTCGTCACATTATTCCACGAACATCGTAATGGGTTCTAGCTCCGGTGGCGGAACAACCTGTATACCGATCCACGTTTTCGTATATCCCCCACATAACGGCACCTTCCAATATTCGGTATTTTGATGGTTTTAGCAACATTTTTGCAAGGATTTGTCGTAAAAATGATAGTAGTATTTTATAATAGGTTCTTACTCCCGTGGCAGAATATTGAATATCTAGGAATACGTTTTCCTAAAGGGTACATGTAATTCTAGTTACATTTTCCCACTAAATTGTAAGTAACAATTTGATAATACTATCTAATACCCGACCCTAACCGCTATGGTAAAATGAAATACTGAAGGTCCATATCTTCAATCCATCCAAATAAAATAACAGCAAAATTAACAAAAAAAAAAGTATATTGGATAAGTTGTTAATAAGTTTTAAACCATAAAAACCAACTTTTACAATTCATTTAAGGTCAGTTAGTACCCTTGAATCTCTTTGGGAAAGCAGTAAAGTCGGTGTCGTGGCTGTCTCAGATATACCATGCAGAATGCTGGATTCAGTGTGCCTCAGTCGCTATAATGGAGTTGAAGGCGATCCCAAAGCTAGTTGAGAGGCAGAATGCCGGTTTAGTAATGGAAACTGGCATATCCTAAACTACTTTATTAAAAACAGCGCTATGGTTCTTAAAGTAGCCACTGACAAGGTTGTAGAGGGCTTCCTCTCTCTCTCTCAAAGTTTGCTGGGCCAAACGGCAATATATATGAGTGTCTTGGTATAGTTGTCTATTTTGCCAAAACAGTCTCATCGGAGTTGAAGGCGATCCCAAAGCTAGTTGAGAGGCAGAATGCCGGTTTAGTAATGGAAACTGGCATATCCTAAACTACTTTACTAAAAACAGCGCTATAGTTCTTAAAGTAGCCACTGACAAGATTGTAGAGGGCTTCCTCTCTCTATCAAAGTTTTCTGGCCAAACGGCAATATATATGAGGGTTTTGGTATAGTTGTCTATTTTGCCAAAACAGTCTCATCGGGCTCTATTCATGGAGGAACACCATGTGATAGAGCTCGGGCTCAGACCACAATTCTTCCACTGGATTTACCCGTTCTGGCCTATGGGTGCTTTGTCTGTGTCATGCGAATAAATCCATGTCTCTCATGTCCAAACTAACTACAGTACATCCTTATTGACAACCGGAGCTCTCATGAATCTGCATTGAATCTGATGTTAAGTTTCCAGTCACTTGATATTTCAGTTTCAAGTGGGAAGGTCTGCACTCCTTCTCTAGAAGGCTAACCATTTACATAGACGATTCCGTCGGTGTTGGTAAGTGAACTCTGCACTAGAATAACAGGACCAGGCTGCTAATTCAAGTACTATTAAATCGAGAGCTATTCCTGACAAGAATAAACCCCTCATTGAAGTACGTAAATTCATTAAACTTTGTTTGGTTCCAGGATATAGCAATCTAATGAGTAATGGAATGAATCATGAATTAGAACGAAAGGGTTCCCAGTAGATTGATTTATCTATTTATGAGACTGTCAAAACACCGATAAACTATTATATCAGATAAGAATCGCGGTAGGCATACTGACTGCCCAGTGCAGTGTCACATATCTGACCTCAAAATCGGATAACAGTGACCCTGACTACTTTAGACTATGCGAAGATGAAGAACAGGTAGAGACGATTGAACATCTACTACACTGATTTCACATGTTATCAAACAAGAAAAATAGATGGAAGCGAGAAAATCTAACGTTCTTCTCAGTTATCATCACCAACAAGTTTGTTAAAAGCATTCCCTAGTTAGGCCAGCCACCCTGTTTTTCTCTACAACTTCTTTCTAGCTTCTATATCATGCCTCTCACCAACAACTTTATTCTTAATAGGATGAACACAAAGGTATCCTAGTGAAGCAGCTGTCAACTACCTGTCCGGGGTTAATTAATTAAACTCACTTAAACTGGGATCAGCGTCTCACTACACTTGTAATAGGATACTTCAAAGAAAATACCAGAAGTAAACCATGCACTGCAACGGCAATAATATACAGATGTGAAGATGAAGAAGAGGTAGAGTCGATTGAAGACCTGCAACACTGACTTCACATGTTATCAAACAGCAGAAATAGGCAATTTGATAGGTAGATGAAAGAAACTCTAACGTTCTTCTCCAACAAATTCACTAAAGGCATTACCTGGCTAGGCAATCCACCGTGCTAACAATTCTTCTCTCGGAAGTCTCGGAAGGATATAGAGTTAATACTGTCCCAGGAGACCACCACACTCTCATGCACTGCAACGGCAATAATATACAGATGTGAAGATGAAGAAGAGGTAGAGTCGATTGAAGACCTGCAACACTGACTTCACATGTTATCAAACAGCAGAAATAGGCAATTTGATAGGTAGACGAAAGAAACTCTAACGTTCTTCTCCAAAAAATTCACTAAAGGCATTCCCTGGCTAGGCAATCCACCGTGCTAACAATTCTTCTCTCAGAAGTCTCGGAAGGATATAGAGTTAATACTGTCCCAGGAGACCACCACACTCTCATCGTAGCTGAAGAGCAAGAGTTGCCCCGATAAACCCGAGTAGCTTTAGCACGGTTAAGATTCGGATGGTGTAGCCGCCTCAGTTCGTATTGGGTCCGGATTGACAGCGATGTGCAGAACATCTGCCCAGCTTGTGGCACAGTCCTACATAACACGCTGCACCTATTTCGCTGCCCAGCCAAACCTATTCAATTAATTACAGTATCGTTGTGGACCCAGGCGTACAGGTTGTGTCCTTTTTGAGACTGAACTTAGAAGCAGAACCCGATTGAGAGAAGTCAGAAAGAAAACATCAGTATTAACTGATACAACAACAACAAGCCCCTTATTTTCTTTCTCTGTCTATATCATTATTCTCATCAATAAATTTATTCTTAATAGAATGAACTCAAAGATCTCCTAGTGAAGCAGCGGCCAACTACCGTATCGGGAGATAATTAATCTCATTTAAATTGGGATCAGTGCCTCAGTACACTCAAAATAGAATGCTACAAATAAAATACCAGAAGCAAACCATTAACTGCAGCGGCGATGATATAAAATCTCGATTATTCAACACTATCTAAAAACAAAACATTTTATATTTTATTCATCTAAAAAATCATATGACAAATCAATGCACCTCGGATTTTTCACCTTAAATGATAAATCATAAATTTTTTAAAAGTACAGAAATCGGGCGATGCTTTTTTGGAACCATAACAAGACTTGTTCTGAGTGTAGGGAGGCATAAGAATTGTGTTGTTGTAAAAATGCAAAGAAACATATGAGCATTGGCATATTTTTAAAATTTTTTATATTTTTTTTTTAATACATTTTACGTTTGGCTTGTTATTATTATGAGAATGAGAGTGATGATGATGGTGTAAAAAGCAACATAAATTTTAATATCCAAAGCCTTACAGGGTATAAAATTAAAATGAGTAGGTAGTTTATCCATGGGGATTTAGAAACTCGAAAGAACTAGAAAATTACTACCAAATTTTAGAAATCGTATTTGCACAAAAACTGCATTCGTGACTTTATGATGAACCTACATGTCAGATGGGATTTACTTTCGACATTATGCATTCTCCGGAGTTTTTAAATTATATTTTGATTTTATGTTGTTTAACTCGTCCTGTTTTTTGTCCACATCCAAACGTTTAAAGGCTTTATTGGACTGGTAGTACAAAACGACCAAGTATCGGTTGCAGACATTAAACCCAGACAAGTGATCACAAGCGTTTTTTGCATCAAAAATATCTTCATAGACAACAAAAGCAGTGCCTCGTGTTTCCGGAGTATTACCCCTGTAAGAAAATCGAACGTACAAACACAACTGAATTTAATAAAAAAAGGGCAGAAGTGGGCTTTAATACATACACTCGTATCTGTCTGATCGCTCCATACTTTCCAAAAATATCGTACATTTCCTCCGATGTTATTTTGTAAGGTAGATTTCGAACATATAAAAGTCTATTCACCTCCGGGGGCAAGCGTATCTGGAACAGTTACATTAATTTTTTATTAATAAGAGAAAATATATTAAAAAATTATACTGACATTGTTGCGTTTATTCATTGTCGACAAAACGTGGTACTCGGCAATGCACTGTATGATGCCTGTCAGCCTGTAAGTCGCGATTGAATGATGTGGATAGTGCGAGAAGTCGATATTTTCTTTACTACAACTTAGTCCTTTAGTGTCCTTTGTCTTCTTTGTCCTGGGCTTGTTTTCTTTGTTTTTGTGGCATACACTAGGGATAGGTAAGCCGATTTTTGGCTTATCGCTCAGTCGACTTTGCAAGCAAAAGAGAGAGAGAATGAAGGAACCAGCTGCGAAAGAAATACAGCAACGGAAACAGTAATAGCAAGGGAGTAAATCTATGTTACTGGTCAGGCTCTTCTACTTTCTACAAAAAAGAAAATTTAAAATTATTTCAAAAATTTTTCATGAGTTATACCATTTTTGTATAAAACAGACGGTCTGTTTCAGAACAGGTTAGAGTGCACAAATGTTATCAAATAGAAAGAAAACCAAATCTAGTAGGTTCTGGAGCAAAGCAAACACTTTCTTATACTTTTGAATTCAATTTTGTAGAAAAAAAAAACTGAACATTTCATTCATGTTTAGTCTGTTCCCACATTTTAAAAGTACGTTTGCATATAAATGGGTTAATCGACTGGATTTAGTTTAAAGTTGTCATATCCATTACAAATACTTCAAATAAATCCTCTTAAAGTAGGTTAACCCTACAAAAAGTTTTAACGTAATCATGGGATATGATACTTAAAAAAGCCAAAAAAAAAAACATTTATCTAACTGGCTTAAGTCATCGGCTGGCTTTTTTCGGAAACGAACAAAGGAGCATAGGGCCAAAATCAAACTAAGTCAACTTTAAGTTCCTTTGTTCATCTACGAAGAAGCCAGCCGATAAATTAAGCCAACCAAATATGCGCTTTATGTATTTCCACCCTTAAAATATATTTGACACAACAGGGCATGGCTGCAAACATGGTACAATAGTAGGTAGAACAGCTTCGTAAAACTGCAGAAATGCAGCCCTGAGGCAATGTCCGCTTTCTATCAGAATCATTCAAAATTATATACAACAAGTTGGTTCCATTTTTTTCCTCATTAAAAACAAAATATTTTTAATAGCGCGAAAAATGAATGAAATACCTGGTTTTTCTCTCAAAAATATGATCCAAAATGTTTAATCTTTCAATTTCATGGCTAAACTGGTTCCAATCATGCGGAAAGGTATCCGCTTGTGCCATGAGTGTGAGTACATGTGACACTAAGGGTGCAAGTACATAAAGAGCTTGAAGTCATGGCTAGGCATATTTTGTGACATTTCATAAAGGGATTACAGAGCCGCACTAAAATCTTGCCGTCGTTTTCCATTATAATTTGACATTAATATTCCTAGCCATGACTTCAAACTTGTTATGTACTTGCACCATTATACTTTTAGTCGTTATGAATAAAGGGCTAAGTACATAAGAAGCTTGAAGTCATGGCTAGGCATATTAATGTCAAATTATAATGAAAAACGACGGCTGGATTTTAGTGCGGCTCTGTAATCCCTTTGTGAAATGTCACAAAATATGCCTAGCCATGACTTCAAGCTTCTTATGTACTTAAGCTGGAAATACATAAAGCGCTTATCTGGCTGGCTTAAGTCATCGGCTGGCTTCTTCGTAGATGAACAAAGGAGTTTTAGGTTGACATAGTTCGATTTTGGCCCTAGGCTCCTTTGTTCATTTCCGAAGAAGCCAGCCGAAGACTTAAGCCAGCTAGATAAGCGCTTTATGTATTTCCACCCTTATGTATTTCCAGCCTTAGCCCTTAGGCTAGAAATACATAAAGAGCATATTAGGCTGGCTGAAGTTATCGTCTGGCTTCTTCGGAAATGAACAAAGGAGCCTAGGCCCAAAATCGAACTAGGTCAACCTAAAACTCCTTTGTTCATCTACGAAGAAGCCAGCCGATAACTTAAGCTGGGAATACATAAATCGCTTATTTGGCTGGCTTAAGTCATCGGCTGGCTTCTTCGGAAATGAACAAAGGAGCCTAGGGCCAAAATCGAACTAGGTCAACCTAAAACTTCTTTGTTCATTTACGAAGAAGCCAGCCGATGACTTAAGCCAGCCAGATAAGCGCTTTATGTATTTCCAGCCTTAAGCCAGCCAAATATGCTCTTTATGTATTTCCAGCCTTAAGTAATCAAACATCAGCTGATGGGTATGTATATTTTCTTAGGGTATTTTTTGATACAATATGGCACAGCTACATAGTTAAATTTTTCCCAATTAATTCTACATTAATCTACCTTTCTAGTTGTGACATAAGTGTGAGTACAGATGGCACAAATACTTTTGGTTGTGTATGCATAAATAAACAAAAACTCGGCCGATTGGTGTGTATATCCTCCAACGGACGTTCATTGAATTCGGTCCCTGTTTTGAACTATGTCTACCTATGGCACAACTACAGAAGGTAGAACGAAGCTACCTCCTAAATACAATTATTTCTTTTGGGGCCTCGATACTGTCAAAACATATACACAGTTTGTATATTGTTTTGAATAAAAAAGAAAATAATCTGAAATTATCTTAATTGAGATGCATATTTTCCACAATAATAGGTGACAAAATGTATAATTTTGTTGCATGTTTAAAGTCTATTGCATGTGCAAAAAGTTGCATATTGCATGTTTAAAAGTCTATTTAACAATATAGTTTCTTTGAAGTTGAGCAACCTTAAGGTGGGAATACATAAAGCGCTTATCTGGCTGGCTTAAGTCATCGGCTGGCTTCTTCGGAAATGAACAAAGGAGCCTAGGGCCAAAGTCGAACTAGGTCAACCTAAAACTCCTTTGTTCATCTACGAAGAAGCCAGCTGATGACTTATGCCAGCCAAATATGCGCTTTATGTATTTCCACCCTTACTTATTGAGCCATGTGTCAAACTGAATTCCATTGTACTTTTACCTATGAAGGCAGTAAGTGATACATGTTTGAGGAATATCGGAGTCCATTCGAATTCTGCCGACATTTCCCATATTATTCTGACATTAATATGTTATGCATCGAGGCCATGCTGCTTATTTATCCCTACTTTAAAGGTGACATATTATTGAGGAATGCCAGAGTCGCACTCAAATTCTGACCTCGTTTCCCTTTATAATTGACATTTATATGCCTAGCCATATGCCAGGCTTCTCATGTACCCTCACCTTAAAAGTTTCTGACAACAACCCAAAAAAAAAAAAAAAATGATTTCAATTGTACCTCATTCAATACACCTTGAAGTCTAATGTCGCAGTAAGCGTCTTTAATTCCGCCACTGTAGTGTAGTTTGTAGTTCGTTTTGCTTCGTGAACTTGTGCGATTTGTATTTTTATTAACTAGGAAGTAGATAATAACAAATTTTAAGTGAATATTCTATCATTTAATTCGACTTTGTCAGCGTATTGAATTCGAATGTGCGAAAACCTATCTTAAGTTATCCTAAATGATACTTGTTTTGGCACTTCACCTGTTTGAAGAAAAAAGTGACGAAATTTTACGAATTCAATTTTTCCCAAGTAATATAGAAGCAGGAGAAAGAAGTTACGCATTTGCGTCAGCACAATAGCTTACACATTTTCAACAATAAATTTGTGGAGGAATCAAAAACAAAGAAATTGGGAAGAACGGTAAGTCTTTCAAATGCTTGTTTCAATTTTAGCTAAATGTGGTTTTGTTTTTGATGATGTGATTTATGGTTTGTCAATAAAGATATGTATCATAATTCAGTCCGACCAGCTGTTTGAAGGTTGTTTATGTATGTGTATATGTTAACTTTTGAATCCCCGTCCCACCATCCCAACATTTATATGTCACTAGTATTCAGTGTATGTTGCAAACAATACAATTATTTGATCAAACTGATCGAATAAGAATGTGTATGTTTATTTTTGAATGGAACTTGGAAGACGATTTTGTTCCTTACATACTTTGTATTGCGACTAGTAATTTAAGACTCGATTCCGGTCGCATTTCGTACTTTTGATTCTGATGTCGATCCATATTTAAGGAATAGATTTAGCATGCAATAAACAGTCCTTCATTTTGACATTCCGTCTGCAAAACCTCAGATATTAAGACACGGAATATTCAAAGTCGATACAACATTTGTCGACTGCTTTTTGAAACAGGGACAAACCTGTTATGCCTTCAGATGTCTAACGAAGTAAAGCGTAACTTAGGTAAAGCTTATAAAAAAGTTCATTCAAAGAAGCATATGTTAATGTCCCAAAATCATCAACTGCAATTGAAGACAGCAAACAGAGATTACCACTCACCAATATATCAAACAGCATTGACTACATTACCAAAGCTGCTCGAAATTCCATCGCCAGCAACATCAACCAATCACTAAGATATCCGCACATCATCTTGATTCAGAGCCAGTAGCTCAAATAAAACTCATTGCACGAAAGCAAATAAAAACACAATAATTCGAAAAAAGTAAAATTAATAAACATTCGAACGTATCTTAAACGACTGTTTCTATGTAATATATGATGGAAAAGACCCATCCGAAATAACGACAAGAAGATTGAAAATTAGGAAATGATAGAATACTTTATTTTAGAACGTTGCCTAAAATTCGACGGTACAATGAATAATTCAAGGTTTAATAAATAATAAAATTGATATATAATTGTTAATCGGAGATCAGCCGAATATTATTTTACTTCAGGAGACTCATATTCCTGTAAGCTCCCAAATATCGCCATGGAAAAAATGTTAAACCTCAATATTTTCCAAACGAAACATTTAAGTTTGACGACATTACAGTCCTGTTTGGAAGTGTTCAGGCATCAGTTTTAATAATTTGCGATGCCGTTTCCTAGAATATATAATTAGATTCCCGAGAAATAATCGTCAGGGGTACTGTTGGAACAAACAATAAGGTCAGCATTTCAGCCCTGTTTGGGAAATATCCAGACTTTATTTTTCTAATTGACGACGTCCTTTGAAAAATAATCATCGAGTAGTATTGGAACCATATTTTGCCATGGTTGGAACAAACAATATGGTCAGCATTTCAGTCATGTTTGGAAATATTCAGACTTAAGATTTACTAATTGGTGATAGAACACATAATGGGATATCTGAAAAATGCTCGTAGAGGAGTACTGTTGGAACAAACAATATGGCAGCAACAAGCAAATAGCTAAATCCCACCAGAAACACTATGCCCCTTGGTGTAGCAGAAACTTAAGCATCCATCTTCAAAACAAAGCTAAATCACATTAGACACTCCACAGAAGCCCTGCAATCGCTAACCCTCTAATTCAAAAAAGTTGTATACAAAGTTCAGATTTGAATATAAACGCCACCGAGGTTATCTCTTTTTTTGGCAGAATTTCTTGTTTTTATCACAGTTTTCCCCCATTTCTCAGGATTTGCAGTTCTTCCTTATCTGTTACAAGCTCATTTTATACCAATATTATTTATGAGACACTTTTCTTAACACTTCATTCAGTGTTGACAACCAATTGAAAGATAAAGTATGAGCAAAGATACTAGCATCTTGAGTGATCTGGCCCCAAATGTTACCACTTCTACCACTACTGCATCCCCTGCAGTTGCTACGCCAACGACAATAAAATTAAATTTTATGGCACCACCCCAACAAATGTCTGCACCAATGGATCCACTAAGCCATGTAGGAGATGGCATTTTTTTACAGACGAAAACCGCACAGGGCCTTGCTGGCATATTTGTCTGGGCAGCTCTCTTTATAACATGTCAACAGGTGAGGAAATCGAGTAATGACTATTATGCGCAGTTGTCAATACTATTTATTGTTATTTTACGTTAAATAGATCTATCAACACTTACGATGGTACACAAACCCCCAGGAGCAACGTTGGATTGTGCGTATTCTCTTCATCGTTCCCATATATGCGACATACTCGTGGATAAGTCTCTTGTTTTTCAATTCGGACAATGTCTATGTTTACTTCTTCACTGTCCGGGATTGCTATGAAGGTAAGAGTCCGCATTTCAGGATAAGCATGCACAGTATCACAAATTAAACGTTCAATCTATGTCTCCTCCGCAGCATTTGTTATTTACAATTTCTTGTCGCTCTGTTACGAATACCTTGGTGGCGAAGGCAACATAATGTCAGAAATTCGTGGAAAACCTATAAAAACATCTTGCCTTTACGGAACATGTTGTCTAAAGGGTAAAACCTACACAATAGGATTTTTGCGTTTCTGTAAGCAGGCTACTTTGCAGTTCTGCCTGGTTAAACCGCTTGTAGCATTTATAATAATATTCTTGCAAGTATTTGGCCACTACCATGATGGCGATTGGAGGTATGTATGCAGCAGAGATGGGCATAATGCACTGTATTTTTAGTGCACTAATAATTTCACTATCACTGTTCATATAGTGGTAGTGCAGTTTTTAATTCCACTACCACTAAAGGGTTAGTGGTAGTGAAAAATAAATTGCACTACCACTAACCCTTTAGTGATATTTAAAAAAAAATTGCACTACCACTAAATTTTAGTGGTAGTGAAATTTCAATAGCACTACCACTAAATTTAGTGGTATTTAAAAAGACTTGCACTAAATTAGTGGTATTTCATAAAAAATAGCACTAAATTAGTGCTATTTAGAAAAGTAACCAAATTTTATGAATATGTACTATATATTCTGGATTGTTGTTCCCTACTCACTTCAATAAACTTCATTATAGCTGGTATAATACTTATATACATAGTGCTTTTTTTGGCTTCGCTATAATTTAGTGGTAGTGCAAATTTTTTTTGAAAAATCACTAAATTTAGTGGTAGTGCTATTAAAATTTCACTACCACTAAAATTTAGTGGTAGTGCAATTTTTTTTTAAATATCACTAAAGGGTTAGTGGTAGTGCAATTTATTTTTCACTACCACTAACCCTTTAGTGGTAGTGGAATTAAAAACTGCACTACCACTAATTATTTAATTCTTAGTGCACTAAAAATTTAGTGCAATATGCCCAACCCTGGTATGCAGACGGTGAAAACTCTTTGTACTGTGAAAACTCTAATGTTCACATTATTTTTTATTCTAGTGCTGACGGTGGATACATTTACATTACTGTAATATACAACATTTCAGTTTCTCTCGCATTATACGGACTGTATTTGTTTTATTTTGCAACTCGTGACCTACTAACGCCATTCGAACCAGTCCTAAAATTCTGTACGATCAAATCAGTAATATTTTTATCGTTTTGGCAAGGTCAGTAGTGCATTAAAAATATTCAGTATTATGTATTTGCGGAGTGCACATAATATTATGTTTTTTTGTCTTTTCGTTACAGGTGTTGGCTTAGCTATATTGGAAAAAGCCAAAGTTATATCTCCTATTGTCGACAGTGCGGGCACTGTTACCTCAGCTGGTACTGTATCGGCCGGGTACCAAAACTTTTTCATATGTATTGAGATGTTATTTGCCGCAATTGCTTTGCGCTATGCGTTTCCATATCAGGTAAGTTACATTTAAGGAATTTGTAGATTGGTTTGTAATTGTTTTTAATGGAAAATTTCAAAATCGGTTTATAATTCTATTGAAAAGAAATTAGAAATAAGTTCCGCGAGTACATCAACTATTTTTAGTACATGGGTTAGGAAAAAAGTCTCGATTTCAGAGAGTTTAAAAAGACTTTATTTATTGATTTTAATTCATTTGTGTAAAACAGGGCCAGTAAGACCATAAAATCATATTATATAGCTAGCAAACCCTGAGTACTTAATATACTCATAATAAAAATCAGGTGAAAAGGGACAATTTGTTAACACCATCTCATATCTATTCATAAACGCCAAACCAAAAAGAAAAATTAGAATGTAATTTAAATTATTCAAAATTAGCCATAAACCAATGAAAAAATTAAAATAAGATACAGAATCCAGACAACGCGTAGAAAAATAGGAATTTAAATAATGAACCTTCAAGAACTGTTCAAATTTTCTTAACTTTTTCATACAGAACGTAATTTGTTACGAACATAATAGTCGCGTGTAAAGGATTGCATAAAATTTAAATAAAACGCGAAGCTACTAACATGTGTTTTTGTGGAATATTTTTATTTTTCAAGTACCTACATCCTCTGTTTTTGTTAATGCCAGGTTCATTAGATTTGATCAGAACTAAGATCACACGGTGTTTGAACTTAATTATAACATCCTCGTAAATTCTATACTTAAAAAATAAGGAATTTAAAGAATTGTATGTAACCAAATTCATAACTTTGGACTCCTTTTACTATAATTAATAATTTTTCCAGTAAAACAAACAAATATTGCAGAAAGTTATCGCACAATATTTAATAAAATTTTGCTGGAAAACATACGTTTCGCGAAATGCATGTTAAACTTTTAAACTGTTGAAAAATCGAATTGAAATTGCTATTTTTAAGTGACACTTTAGTTATTTAGTGGACAATGTTTACTATCTAAAAAAATTATTAAATTAATTATTGCCTGAAATGTTTAAAAATGTTCATTCAGCTGGTGATACAGGCTTTCGGGTTATTGACCAATTTGTAATGATTTGTAGACATCCCTATGCATAAATCGACGTAAATCACAAATTGTACAATCCCATAATTAGTTCAGAACATAAACTTTTTTCGTCCTTAGATTGGAGGAAAGATTAGAAAAACCCCTATATTCCGTCTTCAAAATATCAGCAAATTTTTAAGTGAATGGAGTGGATGTGTCATAATATCATACATTAGATTTTTGTTTCCTAAAAGGATGTACTTCAAATCCTTCATTAAGCAGAGGTTTATTATATATACAGGGTGAGATAAAAACAACTGCAACAAAGTCAAATGCCATAATTTTTACATTTTTTTTAATTTTATTGAATGAAAGCAAAAAATGTTGGAAATAGCATCAAATTTTAGAATAAGTTTAGATTTGTTCGAATTGGTCACCTTTGGCACGGAGTATGGCCTTCAAACGGCCAATGAAAGGCTGCCCAAAATGTATTTTAGCCCAATCCCGGCGAAGCGCATGCTTGAGGTGATCGAGACTTTGGTATATTTTAGTGCCAACCTTGCTTTCCAAAATACTCCAGACGCAATAGTCCAACGGATTGGTATCCTGAGATTTTGGTGGCCATTGAGCGCTGGAAATAGTCCAACGGATTGGTATCCTGAGATTTTGGTGGCCATTGAGCGCTGGAAATGGAGCGAGGAACCTCATTTTGTAACCATTCTTGGGTTGCACGTGCTGAGTACGATGGTGCTGAGTTCTGTTGAAATGTCCAAGGTCTGCGGCCAAAATGTTTACGTGCCCAAGGCTTTAATACACCCTCCAAAATATTTTCGCCATAATATTCGGCATTTATTCTGATGCCACGGTTGATTAATACGAGCGGAGAGCGACCATCGGCTTTTATGACGGCCCACACCATCACCATGGCCGGTGCTTGAGTTCTGGTGGCCAACCGAAGGTGCACATTTTCAGCTGACCTCTTTGGCAAGTAAACATGATCATTTCGTTTGTTTACAAACTGCTGGGAAACGAATGTTTTCTCATTGGAGAAAAAATTCGGCAGTTCAACACTTTCGGCCAAGCGAAGCAACACTTCAGCTCTTTTGAGTCTATTTTCTTTCGGTTGCGCTGTAAGTTCTTGCACTTTTTGGAATTTTAATGGCTTTACCCCGAGCTCATTTTTTAATATTTGCCGAATGAAATATTGCGATATGTTCAGCTCACGAGCCATTTTTCGGCCACTGTGACGCGGGCTTCTATCAAGTCGCTTCTTTACTTTTCGAACCATTTCTGCTGATGTTGCTGTTTTCTTCCGCCCACTTCCTTGACGTCGGGCTACGCTACCAGTATCACGGTAACGAGCGATAGTACGAGACACAAAAGATTCATTCACATTTAAATGATGGAGTGTTCAAACGAGAGCGAGAGAGAAACGAGAGAGATTGTTCAAACCAGACGTCTCAGGAAGGACATACATGATCTAGAAAGCGGTGGACCTCCCACGCTATTAGAGAGAGGCTCTATATCAAGAGCCTATCAGGCAGGTCTGAGTGGGATTCATGCTAATGTAGTCACAGATGCCATCAGCAATCACAGGATGAATGTCCTCCTCGGAGTCCACCCCCCATCCATTGTTGTAACAGTTATAAGTTCTGATTTTGTAGACGCTATTTGCTCGATCGCCGGTTAGAACTTCCATTAAATTCAGTTAATCCAGATGAATTTTCACCCGGAACTACCAGTTGTAAAATCCGTCGCCTATAAATTGGGAAATTCCGTGTGTTTCCTTTTTGTCTTCCATATCCTCTTGTAAATTGAAACACGCACGAATTTACATATTACGTACATAACATATTACCATAGTGGGGATGTTGAATATTTGTGTACGCTACGTCGAATTTTAGATAATAAAAGTTTGCTCAAATAATTTGTTCTTCTTCGCCCTTAATTGTTTCATTTTGAACTCTTTTTAAACCTTTTTAAATAATAAAATAAAACCTTTATGGTTTATAATTATACATATATATAATTACTTAAGAGCTGATCAGTTCAATTCTCTCACAATCGCAAACATTATTATTGCAATTATTTAAAAAAATATACCAATTTATTTCATACAGGTCTATGCACGCAGTTGCATTGGTGATGGTCATGGGCGCTCGGTAACCATGCAGTCAATCTCGAGCAGTTTAAAAGTAAGTGCATTCTAAAGATTAGTTGGAAAAAGATTAAGAACAACAATTTTGTTTGTGTGATATTTTAGGAAACTATGAATCCAAAAGACATTATGACCGATGCTATTCACAACTTTCACCCGCAATACCAGCAGTACACTCAATACAGTTCCGGTAAGTAAATCAAAACCTTATGCAAATAAATATTTGTCTCATGCTAATTGCATTTAATTTGTAATCAAAATGAGGATATACATTTATAAATTTATCTATCATTGCATATTTTTCTAACGTGAGCATGAATTTTGATTAACATTGATTAAAAAGAAAACATTTTAACATTAATTTTGCTTCGCCTGATTTTCAAAAACAATATGGTAGTTTAATATATTATAATCATGGCTTTTTGTAGTTTGCACACTAAAAATTTCATTGCACATTAACATATCATTTAATTCTTTTCGAATGACCACGACGTACAGGCTCACAAACATTCTTGTGATTTGCAGGTGTACAAAGTTATGTAACACACTTTAAAAAGCAAATCTGAGACTCAGCTACAATCGACTAAATTTTTTCCACCTGAAAAAAACTAAGAAACACTAAAATTTATTTAGAAGTTTACTTCCTAGTATAAGTGTGATTACTCCTTTTTAATGGCTTTTCCGATTTACTTTCTACATTATTATTTGGCTTTATTTTATATTATAATTCACAAAAGATTTTGATGGAAGATCTAAAACAGACGCAAATTCAAATACGTCGTGATATTGACTTTTAACTTATATTTCGGTGCTTATGCACTTAGCAATGTAGTATTATATGGACGTGATATAAGTAATAGAATGTGAGTTGTTAGCCGATACGTCTTCGAACAAATATACCGTGTGATGGAAAAGAAATACAAAAAATACATTTCGACGGTATTTAATGCCAAAACTGAAGAATTCTAGAACCAATTTGGAAGCATTATGTATATACTTTTATCAATGAAATTGCTTCATGGTCGGTTGTCTATTGCTTCTAAACGAACATCTAACCAACTAAATAGCAAAGCCTTATTTGTTCTCCTAATATAAACAATAAATAATAATAAATAAATCTTTATATTAAAAAAAATACATATATTTAAAGGGGGAGAGTATACGTTTTATTATCCAACAATAATCGACAGTTTGCTCGTAGTTATGATTGTAATAGTTTTTGATTGTGCTCTTGCCGACACAAATGTAATGGGGCATTTTGTTCCCATTAGGCACGTCTATTTTAAAGGGGGAGAGTATACGTTTCATTATCCAACAATAATCGACAGTTTGCTCGTAGTTATGATTGTAATAGTTTTTGATTGTGAAGAGTTGGTGTTTTTTTTACTTTATAAGAATACCCTACAAGATTCTTTATACATTACATCATTTGACAAACCTACTGTCTAACCTCAAACTCCATTCACCTACTTCATTGTTTTTTTTTACATAACACCATTACTAACGCATCTATTGTCATATTTAGTCGTCATTTTTTATTTAATTTCTTTGAATTATTTTTTTTTTTTTTTTGATTTACAGAAGTGACCTCGTCGCAACGCTATGAGAAACTTTAAAATTAAATTTTAGTTTATATGATGAGGGAACAACAATTGGATTGTTGGTTACGATGCTTTCACCAAGATGTTTCGCCTTAAATAAAGAAAAAAAAACATATTGCTTATAAAAGACATTTTATACCTAAATATATTACAAAGTAAATTTTAGATATATATATAAATCGGACCAAGTGCTGCCTTAAGCCACCTGGAAGCCCACAATAACTTCATTCCGACACAAATCTCCATTGGCCCCACTTGACATATCGATGTATAAATATGACCCGAAGGAAGAAAATGTTGATTCAAATCAATACCTATTATTCTTTTGCATTTCTATTTGTATTCATGCAAAACAAATAAGTTTGACCTAAGTACTTAACTGTTACGTGATACATTTTATATTTACGTTACAATATCATAATTTTGTTTATTACTTTTCTTTGCCTTTGTATACAAACGAACATATAAATTAGAATACTTAAGCTTGTTTTACGCATAGTTTATTATAACAAAATATGCATAACTTTATTATTGTACGTTTTGTTCAACTCTGAAATATATGTTTTACATTTTTACAATAGATTCAATCAAATACAACTTCGCAATAATAAACTTTTTGTTTAATTGGCGAGAAGTAGTGAACTCCGACGACAAAGTGCTATTAAAAGCTTATATTCACTCAAGCCTTTTTAGTGCTTGGATAAAGAAATTAAACATTTTTCGCTTGTAGTATTGCAAATGGAGTTAAATCACAGCTTGAATGAAGATACTGAAATAATCCCTTCAATCTGTATATATAGTAAGCAAGAATGAAATCTTCTCAAACGCCTCAGAACTGTGAATATTTTCTTTTTTTTGTTTTTTTTTTCATTCACTTATTTCGCATGCAAATATATATTTATGTTTTGAAGTATATGTGTGAAAGTGAAGCATTTCAATTTCTTAGTATATATACCTAGGAAGTCATATAAATATTCAACCAATACCAATGTCCCGATTTATTGCATACAGGTGGAAAGAATTCCCGAGGCATTCGAGTTTCGTCCTACGACCCCGACGAAGTAAACCACAGTAGCACCAACACCACTCTCAATCAAGTGAATCCAAACTCCGCCCTAGGCTATATGGCATCGAAAACTCTTGGCAATCAGCGAAAATTCATGCCTGGTGGTCAACGGGTGGCAACGATCAGCCAGAACTATAACGAAAAATCTATGCTCTTGAGCAGTGACGACGAATATCAGTAGACTGCTCATTCTGCAGAACCGCTTCAGGGCTATCACTTCGAGGATCTTATCACAAATTGTTGTTATATGTATTAATTTTGTATTAACTTTTAGTTTTCTTCTTTTCTCATTCGCTAGTATAAGTCCTTTGTAATGATGCACATACATATGAGTGTACTCATATGAATAGTTAAGAATTTTAAAATAAGCATTAATATTTTTTACGCAATCGTCTAATTCACAAAAAGACAATAGCTTCAATTACTATTTAGTATTTGCATTAGAAACTTATTTTTGATCTATAGTTGTTTTACAGACCAACACCACACATACACAAAAACAAAAACAAACTATCAGTCCGCCCAATTTAAGTACGTATTTCTGGACTTAAAAACGCCATCTCGTGCTATAAATCGGCACTTATTATTTGGGAACTTCTTTCAAACTAAGAAGACTTTAGGAATTTTTGAATGTACTCTTAGTTAAATAGATAAGAAATTGTCCGTCCCTCTCGATAAAATTTCCTGTATTTATTCCTCAGGAAATTAATTAGTTCTGATGATGTTTGTTCCGATGGACTTTATTGGCCACGAACCGTTTCTTGCATTTGATTCGAGTTTTTCAAAAAGATTCACAGTAAAATAAAAATAAAAAATATTTTCAGAAAATATTTTGTTACTACAACATTTTTATATTTTTGCAGAAATCACGTAAACTTAATAAAATGTAATATTCCAAAGAAAATCGAAGGGATGAATCAAAATTATTAAAAGGTAGTCATTGTTGAGGTCTGGTCTTATATAGCAAGTTTTTAAAAGATAAACAGCAACCACATAAATACACAAACTAATTATTGTAAACTATTGTAAATTATATGTAGTAAAAAAAAAAATAAAAAAATAAATAAATAAAATAAATAAATAAAATCACAGGAAGTGACAAACATATTAATACATATTTGAATATACAAACAAAACGGGAGTTTGCTGCAACTATGGTTGGTGCGCTATTATACAACTCAGTAAGAAGATTACTGCTTACAACCTTTAGTATCGATTAATTTTATTACAATTTCCTGATGAACAGTTTATTGGACTACACTAGGGCGCCGACTTGCGTGTTCAATGCACAGCGGTGATGACAAAAATCAAAAGCATGAATGCCACAAACATTAGCTTAAGCTCTGCAAATATTAATATTCCAACAAAATTTTTTACTTTTTTTTATGATTTTGGACAAACTTGAAGTACTCAATGCAGTATAGTCAGATCAAAAATTAAATTACACCTAATGTAAGTATTTTATATATTATTTTAAGATTGAATATTATGGTTAATGGTACCATCCATATTTCGGACCCAATGCATTCATATGTGCACTTCTAATTGCAGTAGAAATAAACTCTTAGAGTTCTCCTTTCGTAGAATTTTTCCGCAATATGTCGTTAAAAAGGTTAAGTTCTACTTCCCAGTGTAGTTTTTCGTCACTGTCAAACTTTTTTCCCATAATACTTTAATTAGTGTGTGTAGACTAAGAAAAGATTGGTTTCAGCTGCAAATCTGAAAATTCCGTGAAATAGGGGGTAGAATTCTATATCAAAAACATGATCAATGTTGACCATTTTTGCCCAATCAATTTGTTAAACTATCCCAAACATAAAAGTTAAATTTCAGCAAAATCGATTGAAAAATGTGGTAAAAACTCTCCAAAGAAATAAAGTTGGGGGTTGGGTTCCATGGGAGCCATATAAAAGTGTGGACCCATATTAACATTATTTTGCAAAGACATTTGGTACCCGTTACGAACACCAGTAGTGGGATTCTCTAACTCAATTTTCTAGTTACCGACAAAAATTGGAACAATTCTAATGCTTATAAATTCGGTAACTAACGGAATTTGTCAGTTAGTTAGCGGTAGGTGCTAGCTCTTCTTATATTTGCAACTAAATCGTTTTATTATGTACAGTTTTAATTCCAAGGTGGACCCCATAAAGTATATATATATATATTCATGATCAGCACAAAATTCTAAGTCGATTTAACGATGCCTGTCTGTCTGTTGAAATCACAATACAGCCCACGTTATTTGACGTAGAGCTTAAAAATTTGGCTCAACAATTTGTATTGATCTAGGATGGTTGGTATTGAAAATGAGATGTAATGGTCCACGTTTTCGTATAGCCCCCACGTAATGTTCCTCCTCACATTTACCCACAAAATTGTTTCGAATTTGGTATTTAAGACTCGCAATAGATAACAATCCTTGTAATATAAAATTTTCTATATAGATTTCCGTTTTGGTATGGCCCCCATATAACGGCTTCACTCACTTTATGGTTTTTCCAAAAGTATAACTGCATTATCCTAGAGGTCTTACTGGTGTTTGTAGTTAGAAGTGGAACACTTTGAATCCAGATACTTTTATACAAAAATGCCAACCCTATTCTATTAATAGACAAGGCACCGTCGACGAAGGGGTATTTGTTGTACCAGGCAAAACCAAACGAAAGCATAACAAGTTGGGAAAGTTGAAAATGTTTATAAGTGCGGTTGTAAGACTTAGAAGATTTTCCAAAAGAATTTTAGTTTTATGTAATTCTGTGGTTCCTCTTCTATTGAGCTTACTATCTCGTCACTTGGGTAAAAAAGTTTTTTGTCATAGGAGTTATTTTTGAAATAACTCTTGGGGAGAATATGACAGACAAAAAACAAGGGAACTGATGAGGATTGGTGGCTCTTTTCGAATCCGAGGTATACTCTTCCTTAACCCCTGGTAAACATTACCCTCGTTGTTTTTATAAAAACAACAATAATGGGAACAAGCCTGACCATCTTGCAACAAAAATGGTGCCCCGAACAAACATGCCAACACTGTTCTAAAAATTTTTTCTTTACCCAATTGACAAGTGTTATTACATAACGTTTTAATTTTTTTTTAACAAATTATAATATCATTATTCCGGAACACCCACCAACCTCCTCCGGCTTTAAAGTAATATACGATGCTAACGCATGCGTGTTCCAAACTCTCTTGCCTGATAAAATCTTTTCTTACAGACGATTTTGTACACTGATGGTTCTTTTAATCCGGTTAACTCAGCATTTGCCGTTGTAAAAGGAATATCAACCTCAGTCTATGAGACGCTTTGTGCTCGACGATTACCAGACCGAGTTGGACCGCGGATCAAACAGCTGTTATTGAAACCATGGCACATGATTCAGAACTGTCAGGGAGAACACTTATCTGCAACGACAGTCTTAATGTAAAAGAAAATTGTCAATGGTCAAGAGACAACTGTGCGGAATGTAAAGAAACAGCTCCATGTCAAAAATTGTTTGTAGTTTTGTACCTGTCCTTCAAAATGACAAAAAATGTCAATCCATACCAGTTGTACCGATGATGGAACAGCGTCATCGGCATCCAACATACTCTATACCATGGCTTAATAAGAAAGGTTGCTTAACATCAAAGAAACTAGGAAAATGAAACTCTGCACCAGAGTCTTATTTTATCAAATAGACTTTTAAACATGCAACAATTGGTTTTGTTTATTTTACATTTTTTCACAAAATTACTATATTGGGAAAAACCCACAAAACATGAATGGAATATTAGACTTTCTAAACCAAATTGAATCCAGATAGAGGGACAATATTGTTTCATCCCAAAATAATAAATTTTTTGGCATTTAAATTTGAAATAATTTAATTTTTTTGTTTTTTATTTTTGTTTTTATTCAAAACAATACACACACATATACAGACTGTGTATATGTTTTGACAGTATTGGGGCACCACATGAAAAACAAAATTGTATATGGGAGGTTGATTTGTTCTACCTCCTGTCAGCGTGACCGTTGTGCCACTAAAGTATCAATTTTGCCACTTTTTTTGGGCTTTGATACCTTTGTGCCACTTTTTTATTTTGATCCTAAATGAGCCACTTTTGTACCATGGTGCCACCCATGGTCGCGAAATAAACCATAAGAGATATATAGAACATGATATTGAAAAGAAATTTTGACCATTCATTCAGTTTTCGCGGTTTTAAATTATTTATTCAAAATCAATGCAACAAGTTGTTTGCTTTTTTATTGTTTTGATAGCAATTCTGACATTACAAGCCAAACAGGTAGACCTCTATACTTGAAAATTTTTCAAAGTTGACCTACCTTCTCTTCATTGTACCATGGTGCCACCTTTTTTACACCCTCCTCCTTAGTAGGAAGGGTATATTAAGTTTGTCATTCCGTTTGTAACACCTCGAAATATACATTTTAGACCCCACAAAGTATATATATTCTTGCTCAGCATAAAATTCTACGTCGATTTATCAATGTCCGTCCGTCTATCCGTCTGTCCGTCTGTGGAAATCACTCTAGCTTCAGAACAAAATGAAGTAAGTTGAAGTAAGTGCAGGTCTACGTCTTCGTATAGCCCCCATATAACGGTACCCCCGATATTCGGCATTTGGATGATTTTAGCACATTTTTTATCGGAATTGTTTCAAACTTGGTATTTGAAGTTCGTAATAATTACTAAAGCATATGACAGGAGATTGTCTGTGTAGGTTCACGTCTTCTCATAGCCCCTATATAACGGTACCCCGATATTCGGTATTTTGATGATTTTAGCGACATTATTTACGGGAATTATTTCATATTCTGTATTTGATCTTCGTAATGGATACTACAGCATATGCCGGAAAATTGTCTGTGCAGGTCCACGTTTTATAACCCCAATGCACCTCCCTATATTCGGTATTTTATTTATTTTAGCTACATTATAAACAGACTTTTTTTTCAAGTTTCGAATTTAAATATTATAATAGTTTATGACAAAATTTGCCTATGCAGGTCCACGTCGTCGTATAGACCCTAATATACGGCTACATTCGGTATTTTTAAGATTTTAACAGAATTTTTACGCGATTTAATTTTTTTTGTTTTGTGAAAATTGCAAATTTTTTACCACATGGTGGAGGGTATTCAAAGTTCGGCCCGGCGGAACTTACAACTTTTTTACTTGTTTTAAATAAAATGTGCAATAAATTGTGCCACTTTGTGTGCCACCATTTAAAGTTATACGTGCCACTTTTTTTATGAAATGATACTTTTTCAAAATTTCCAGCGGTCACACTGCCTCCTGTAATTGTGCCATGCTCTACACTGCCAGACTGCTATAGTCGAATTTAATTATCACATCAATAATCACATTTCCAAAATAATCACATTTCCAAATTTGTGTTTTACAAAATAAAAAAAGTTTAAAGTCGTTTCATATGTATAGCCTATAAACATTATGTTGTGAGGGCATTAACAGTTTGATTCGGGCAACGCAGTTACAACACCTTTAAATATTGCCAAAAAATGCCAATCCATATTATGTAGCAAACTGTTCACAATATAGCGATGAGATGAGTCAATATAGACATTTGTGCCAGTCCGTACCTCAGTCTGTCCATGTTAATTTGAAAACACTCTAATGGTCGTAATTATGTTCCGATCCTAACGAAATGTTTCTTGCTGTCAGATGGAGAGGAAATGGACCAAACCCAGAATTTGTTCCTCTGGTTGTACAGTTGGTCTACAAGTTACAATTATGGACCGATCTAGATTTTAAGTCAGAGACGAAGCCTGCTATTTGCGGGTGAAGTGAACCATATCTTTTGTGTGAAATATGCCAAAAATTCTATACAACCGCGAATATTTTTAATGCTGAAAGACACTTCCATTTCATTTAGCCAATATCACGTTATATCGTATATATGGTCCCATTATTTGGTAATAGTGTTCGCAGAGATTATGGAGACATAGACCAACCCTACCTCATATGGGAAGAAGTTGTGCTATATTTTTTTGCATAGGTAATGTCACTTATTCGTGAAATTTTCAAGTGGAATACATCTGTGGCAAAAATTGATCTTC